GAAGCTGTCATCGCCGCTGTCAAGGATCTCATCTTACAACTTCTTCTTTCCTATAATGAACTGATTTTACTCAAATGTCTATTTGTAATTTACGGATCTGTAAAAGTTTTGAAGATTATGATGTATTATTACTTTCCAAGGAAATCTGAAATGGCAGGGCTGAGTTATTCTCCATTTTTGTGCAGGCTGGTTATAGGCACATCGACTGCGCACGGGTCTACGACAATGAACAAGAGGTAGATACTGTAATACAATATAAATAATTTGGATCAATTTTACTAGTTTTAACTTTCAGAAAAGTTAGAGATTGACTTGATTTTTTAATTAGTATTTGAAGTTGAAGTTCTTGCTCAGCTCTCGCCCCTGACTTTCCTGCAATTTCTTTGATTTTTCTATCAGCGTTTTCTTTATAGAGCATTAACCACTAAATTTAATTTATTAACAAATCAAACCATGTAAATGATGTGTATTGTGCTGGGTTTGTTGTTTTTTTACCCTAAATCAGAATGGAGTTTGCGATTTTAGCATTTTAGTTTACTAAATGCAGGTTGGAATGGCACTCAACGAATTATTTTCAACTGGGGTTGTGAAGCGTAGTGAGATATTTATCACGTCCAAGCTGTGGTACTTCTTTAAGTTTCTATATCCTAAATGTGATATCTGGTTGATCAAGACATAGTTTATCATCCTCACTTTTGAACCATCTGTTAGTAGTGTCTAAACCAGATTGAAGTGGACGTTGAAATTTTGACCTTATAACCAATGTTGTTGGATATGTTAAAAGTATTAAGGATAATGTTTGACTTGCAACATTTTAGGTGCTGCGACCATGAACCACAAGATGTCTCCAAGGCGTTGGCCAAAAGTTTAGAAGATCTGCAACTCGACTACATTGATCTGTATCTTGTAAGATTAATATAATTATGGGAACCCGAACAATGATATGGTGCTGTTATTGCAGTTCTGTTAATACTTTTTTTTGAATTGGATCTTGCTTTATCAGATGCATTGGCCATTCAGGACAAAGCCCGGCTCAAAAGGATGGTCCCATGAAGTCATGGCTCCATTATGTCTTCAAGAAACATGGACTGCAATGGAGGGATTGTACGCGTCTGGTCAGGCTCGTGCAATTGGGGTTAGCAACTTCTCAACTAAGAAGCTGCAAGATTTGATAACAATGGCAAAAATTCCTCCTGCAGTTAATCAGGTGGAGTGCCATCCTGTTTGGCAGCAACCTGGACTTCACAACTTGTGCAAATCAACTGGAGTTCATCTCTCGGTAAGCACTCAGACAATTTTCATCTCTTGTTTAGATTGTCAACATCATGTAGTTACTTGATCCTTAATATAATGATACTACTTCATCCCATAGGCATATTCACCTCTGGGATCTCCAGGGTCTTGGATTAAGGGAGAAATCTTGAAAGAACCAATTTTGGTTGAAATTGCCCAAAAACTTAACAAGACACCAGCACAAGTAGCTCTGCGTTGGGGTATTCAGAGTGGACACAGTGTCCTCCCAAAAAGTGTGCATGAGTCAAGGATCAAGGAAAATTTAAGCTTGTTTGATTGGCGTATACCTGCAGAGCTCTTCTCAAAGTTCTCTGACATCCACCAGGTAAATATGCTTGATGTTATACAGATACTGATACTGTGTCTGGATAGAATGTATCTATCAAACAAATTGTCCTCATCGACTACATCACTGCATACCGAGACTACACAATAAGTTTTATTTCGAAGGAATCGTAATTCGTATAGTAACAGATGAGGTTGTGTCTATGGGTTGCAGCAAAGGCTTCTCCGTGGGGATTTTGCAGTCCATGAAACTTGTAGTCCTTATAAAAGCGTTGAAGAATTGTGGGATGGTGAAATTTGAGGTAAGCCATCATATATGTATATATTGTTCTGGGTATAGACAAAATTAAAAGCTTTTGAGGAGGAGTTATAGCCAAATGATCATATGTAGGTGAGGAGAAGACAGAAGCACATTCCTAACGCAATCAGCAGATTTAACAGTTAATCCATATTGGTACAAGCCCACTTGGTAGAGTGAATTATCCACACAAACAAACCACCCTTCTCAATTGTCACAATTGGGGTTCTATAGAAAAAGACAAAAATAGTGAATGAACAATTTTTTTTTGGTAGAATTCAAGTTTCATTTCTTAGAAGAAAAACAAAAATGGTAAAAACAAAGCAGCTTTCAGCTTTCGGCACTTTCTCTTGGGATGATAATTATTTTATTATTATAATTGTTATTATCATTATTATTTTATTATTATCAGCGTCCGTGAGATTGATTCCTCGCACCCTTAATTTTCTTTTTTTTTTTTTTTAACCTTCATTTATATATATATATATATATGTATGTCATATTTATTTTTGAAAACATACCACATCATATTTATTATAAAACAAATAATAAATGCTTTCGTAAAATATTATATTTCAGTAAACTAATTATTACTGCTATAATCAAATTTTATTTAATAATTTAAATGTTAGATTGTATATTTTATTTAAAATTTTCAATTTATCATCAGGAAAGGTGCCAAAAATGTTAGTATAAAAATAGTTAAAAATTTAGTATATGCTCAGTAATTAATTTATATCTACTTATAATATGTCCAATGAAAAAAATGAAAATTAAGTCTTTGTTTTGTGAATTGTTTATCAATACCTTGTTCAAAAGGAAAAATATTTATTGAATAATCTGGATCAAAGTTTTCAACCCTAAATTTTTTTTTGAAAGGTTAAATTAATTGCTTTTATTATTGAAATTTAGAAATAAATTGCAGGATATTCTTCTGTTCTTTTCTAAGGATAATTAATTTTTTCATCTGGTCTATAATATATTTAGAAATTCACAAATTTATAATTAATAATATCCTCTAATAATTCATTTCACAAATATTTTTATTTAATTTACCCCTTCAGAAAAGAGGCTCAAACGCTGAGCCGACCCTCATGAACACGAGCAACAGAACACACACACAGAGAAACAACAAACGAAACAGAATTCTCTAAAATTTACAACGGCCCAGAATGCAGATCAATTCGAAAACAGAAACCAAGAAATTAATCCAAACATGGAATTCACACAGCTGATCCAAACTTAACGTCCCTTGATCAATTTAACTCCCACAATTAATACAAAAGATAACACAAACATCAGTGCCAACAACACACCAAAATTCTGATTCTTCTGCCTGTATTGATCGAGGTAGTAATGGTGGTGATGGTAGTTCACAGGATAGTACCCAGGCCTTCCCTGACTGATCACATATACCATAAACGCACTAAACGCTGCAATCGAAGCCGCAAGCATCCAACCTTTCGCCGTAATCGATCCAAAGGTAGCGGCGAACCAGGCTTCAATCGGATCGCGATTCTGGTGCGCGTTTCGGGACAACTGCGTGCAGATCGGGTGCGCATCGAATCCACAAGGCTGGCAATTGTAGTAGAGGCCTTCTATTTCATCAGAGCACAAGTCGCAGATTTTGTCGGTCTGGGAGGGGGAGAGGTGGCGAGTGAGGACATGGTGGTGGTGGCGGCAGGGGGAGAGGGTTTCAGGGCAGGTTGCGCAGAAGTCGTGGAGGATAAAATCGCAGGGTTTGCAGAGAAAGCCGGTGCCATTTCCGTACTGGTTGCAAGCATCGCAGATGTAGTCTGAGTCCAGGTAAACTTTTGTTAATGGATGG